GACCTCCACAACTGACCCCTCTACTTTCTCTCCATCTACAAGCTTCATTTTGCTTTGCTTTCCTCCTAATCCAGTTTAGATTCCACAGTATGTTTTTTCAATTACATCCTGGCTAGTATTGAAACTTCCTTATCCCTAAATGTGTGAGCCACAGTCATCTGACGAAACCCCAAACCTGGATCAACTGTTTTCTCCATGCTTACATGCAACACTGTTGGAGAAAATGAGAAAGTCAGGCAGATTGATTCTGCTAAAAAATGTTGAACCTCATCCTCAAGTGGGCCCTCAACACTGTTTGCCAACCTCATTACATTTCTTAGGTCAACTCCCTCTCACAGTCTCTATTGCGATTAATTCAAATGTTCCCACTTACCCTTAATTCATGTTTTCATTCAGTGACTATTCATTGCACACCAGGCACTGCACGCTATGCCAGGCACTGCAGACTATACCAGGTCTGTTGATTCCTACTTCACAGAGGAAATAAAACCCCTCCAAGCAGAATTCCCTCAATTTACTCTTTCCAGTCTTTCCAACTGACCTTCTGTGCTTTGCAGTAGAAATGTTCTCTTAACTGTCAAGTCAAAATTCCTCTCTCAAAAATGAGATTCCCTTGTTAATAGGCAATTCCTTCCTTGTCTTAGAAAAGTAGTAGATGACTGTAATTTTAAATGTGTATTTGAACAAATCCTTAGCTACATAAAGATAAGCAAAGATATGACAGGCAATTTAATTTTTATGAAGAAAAAACTTATTATATCAGACTTACATATCATTCTAAATCAGTACTTTTGTATCTATAATCAGACAACATTTAATGAACTGAAAATTCTGCCTGCGTGAAACTAGTCATAATAAAATTAGACTTGGTTTGCTGTTTCATGGAGAACATATTCCAGATGTTTAAGTGATTCGAAGAAAACCCACCGTATAATGGCTTTCTTCAATGTTTTCTCACTAACTGCTTCCAAGCTAGAATAAAACCTAATGCAATCCTGATATCATTTAAATAGCACATTGTATTGCTCAGCGTTAACTATGCTTTTTGACATTTTAGGTTTGGTGTTTAATAATTTAAACACAAATTTATGTGTGTCATATTAAAAGCTCTAATCTGTGAAATGTAGCCAAACCAATGTCACATCTATTTAAATAGCAAAGTACCTGTGTTCACCCTTTACAGGGTGAGGGTCTTGTGACTCTGTGTTTAGGTGGCCATACTTCTTGTTATGTATGTTTCTGGGCACTGAGATCCCACAGCAGTGAGCCATCCTTGGGTGGTACAGAGCTGCTACCGAAACCTAAGTCAAATGCCAAAGTGAAGACTGGCATGAGTATTCTCCTGCCTCCTTTTCCTTTTTATCTTTCCTACCATCTGTTATCTCCTTTCTTCCATCTTCATGTGTTGAGTGCCCTCATGATTTCTAGACGACTGAAGTCCTTTAGTCTGCTCAGCCCCATCTAGAGATTTCCCTGAAGTAAACCTTTGCCCCCAGTTATCTGTTTATCAACTGACCTCGCACCAATCAAAGTTTCCATTGTCAAATATTTTAACAGAAATTTAGGAATTCAGATTAAACTGAACATTTGGCATTTTTTCCTTTTTTTGTGTGTGTTTTTTGAGACAGAGTCTCGCTGGGTCACCCTGGCTGGAGTGAGTGCAGTGGTACCATCTTGGCTCACTGCAACCTCCACCTCCCAGGTTCAAGCGATTCTCATGCCTCAGCCTCCCGAGTAGCTGGGACTGCAGGCATGCACCACCACGCCCAACCAATTTTTGTATTTTTAGGAGAGACAGAGTTTCACCATGTTGGCCAGTCTGGTCTCGAACTGCTGACCTCAAGTGATCCACCCTTCCACCCGCCTCGGCCTCCCAAAGTGCTGGAATTACAGGTGCGAGCCACTGTGCCTGGTCTGGGTTGTTTTCTTCATCTTTAGCAGTTGTCTTATTCACAACTACTTCAACAATATTTATTTTCTTTTTCTTTTTGAAGTAGCTTTCCAGAGTACTTGGCCTGGTTTTTATAGAAATCATAACTTTTTTCTTTTCTTTTTAAACTAATATTTTTATGATTTAGGAGATATTTATGAAATTATGTAGTCACAATAGTTACTGGCAAAGATAGGTTTGAGAACATACACACAACTGACGGTTGTAAAAAGTCAACTAATAGGAGCAGAAGGTCCACACATACTGACAGGCACCTCGAACATTTTATTGAGGCTGTGCGAGGTTCCCATCACTGCTGTTTCACAAACAGAATGAAGACTTTGGCTAATTTGGTGAGTCTTAAGTGGAGATTAGTTAAGAGAACTTCCATTATCATTGCTTGAAAGGAGCCAAAAAAAAAAAAAAAAAAAGAAATGACAAGATCTTATGGTAAACTTTAAAGAAGAAAAGTAAATTTTAAAAAGAAAAAAAAAGAGAGGAAAAAGGAGAATGTTGCAATTCATTATGAGTACCAAAACTTATTTTTGAATCCCTTTCATCCTCCAAAACATTGATGCAGGATTAAAATGTGTGCTCAGGAATTTGGGGGAGAAAATGAAAATCAAAATATTCTAATAAGAGACATTTGAAAATGTACATTATGTCACCTAAAGGGAACTGAAATCTAGATATGACTTAACGAGGTAGGATAATCAGTTTACTGGCTTGAGAGTCTTGCTTATAGAGAGATGATTAACATAAAGGACTCACCTGTATCACTGAAAGATGTTGCCTGCTGGCTTGCCCTCTCTGCAGAGGTTCCTATTTACAGTTTCCCCTCACATAATATTTATCTGTGGCTACTAGAAATGCACGTTATTATCCAGAAGAGAATGGTTTCATTTTGTAATCGTTGTCCCTGTCCAAGTTTCCCCCATTGACATTTAAGAAATCTGTTTTCTAACCTTTCTATTATGCGAAACAAAATTATTATGGATCATTTCCTTTTAGAGATAAGTATTCATATATACGGATTTAAACCACCTTTCTCCACGGGCACTTATTCTGATACTTTTAATCCATGTATTTATTCATAAGGAAATGGAATAATATTTAGTATCAACCCCTATAAAACTTTCTGAATTTCACACTGATTCCAATGGCATTCCACTAACACGAAGTTGAATAAAGATGAATACATCACATATGATTTTTTTTGTACGTGTGTGGTCAGAAGGGGTCTCTTTTGTTTGTGTTTATTAATATATAATTCACATACTTTAAAATTCACTCTTTTGAAGTGTACAATTCAATGGTATTTAGTATATTCACAAGGTTGTGCCACCATCACCATTGTTTAATACCAGAACATTTTCATTATCCTCCAAAAGAAACCCCATGATTGCTTAATGTAATGTTTTTAATGATCACTTTTTAAAACTTTAAGTTAAACAGAGTGATTATCACAATGTCTTATATTATTATCTAAGAACTACATAACAGTCTTATACTCTACACAACACCACAGTTTAGTGAAGTATTCGGGTTGATTTGAGAGGATAATGTCATTCTTATTTTGAATGTACATACTGGCTCCTTTGATTTGGAGTGGGAAGAAATGCAAGACTTATAAATGAGGTCAGTGTAACCCGTGGTTTTATCAACATGGTGAACCAGACAGAGAAATAACACCTGCCCAGATCAAGCAAGTCAAAACAACACGTGTAGTCAAGTAAGTGATGCTGTCCTTGTACACAGACATTACATTACACAAACTGTTCTCCTAAATGAGGGAATTTGTCCCTTAGAAATTGCTTATTGGAACATTTGGACATCATGCATCATGTTAAAGATCCATAAATGCCATCTCGATAGGGTAGATATGATGCATGGTAATATCCTCCCCATATCTGCATAGGGTTCTTCTGCTCAATGGATTGCTGTGATGTATTGCATCAGAGACTTCTGCTCTAGTGCTTCAGAGAGAGCTGAGAAGCCCCTCGGGAGCCTTCTGAAGTCATTGCTACAAAGACTAAAATACCAGGAGATCAGGAAGTCATTCTTAGGACTTGACAAAATATCCTACTCCCTAAATGAAACTGTTATGATGTGGTTGGTGCAAAGTATGCATGCAATATTTTATGACTGAATGTTTCTTTCTATTGTAAAAAAATTAAGGATCCATTTCTGGTTGTGACATGAGTAGAATTTAGAATCCAGCAACAATATATTTTTTCCTGTTACTTTGCCAATCCAGAATTTCTTAGGGGAAGCATATAATATAATAGTTAAGAATATATATTCTAGAGGCAGGCAAACCTGTATATATGTATCCCAGGTTCCTCAATTTTTACCCATGAGATCTTGGCAAGGTTTGTTTGTTTTGAAAACAAACCTTTGCAAGTTTGTTTTCTCATATATAAAATTATAATTCTCCAACTACTGGCCTCATAGGATTGTTGGAAAGAAATAAAATCAGTTTATATATGGATAGAGCTCATCATGGCATTAGGCACCTAGGAAGTGCTCAACAAATAGCAGTTATTATTCCTCCATTAACAAATATCCGTTGTTATAATACTACCATAATAGACTGTTTTAGTCTGTTCCAGCTGCTATAATAGAAATGCCATAAATTGGATAGGTTGTGAAACAACAAAAATGTATTTCTCATTGTTCTGGAGGTTGAGACATCCAAGATCAAAATACCAGCAGATTTGGTATCTGGGGAAGGACCATTCCTCATAGAAAACACCTTCTCACTGCACCCTCACATGCCGAAAGGAGCTAGCTAGCTCTCTGAGGTCTCTTCTGTAAGGGCACTAATCCCAAAAAATCACCTCCCTAAAGGCCCCATCTCCTAATACCATTGCCTTAGGTGTTGGGATTTCTTTTTCTTTCTATTTTTTAGGATTTCAACATAGGAATTTGAGGGGGAACACAAACATTCAAACCATAGCATAGAGCAAACATTACTGGCACCGCACCCTAAAGAGAATAAGCCCAGGTATCAATTCTTCTTGTTTTAAATATTCTTATCTTCCAATTTGCTTTTGACTATTGCACACAGGCACTTCGAGGAGAAATTGCACCTCTGAAAGAGAACGTGAGCCACGTCAATGACCTTGCTCGCCAGCTTACCACTTTGGGCATTCAGCTCTCACCATATAATCTCAGCACCCTGGAAGACCTGAACACCAGATGGAAGCTTCTGCAGGTAGGCACATAGTAAACATTGTTGTCCTTTGTTACAGTAAAATAATACACAGATACAATTTGTAAAGAACAATGAAAGTACTTTTTTCATTTAATGTTCATGGTAATATTTGTGAGGATAGGATATTTTATATTAGTTTATAATTCCCATCTAAATATTTTCAAATTATTAATATTAATTTTGGAAGCAATGAAAAGTTAGACTTTAGTATATGTCTTAGTCTGTTTAGTGTTGCTATAAAGGAATACTCGAGGTTGGGTAATTTATAAGGAAAAGGTGTTTATTTGGCTCAGTTCTGCACGCTGTACAAGAAGCATCTGCTTCTAGTGAGGGCTTCAGTCTGCTTCCACTCATAGCAGAAGGCTAAGGGAAGCTGGTGTACAAAGATCACACGGCAAGAGAAGAGGAGAAAAAGAGGGAGGGGAGGTGCCAGTTCTCATGAAAACTGCTAGAGCAAAACCTCACTCACTACCGTGAGAATGGCACCAAGCCATTCATGAGGGATTCATTCCTACAACCCAGACACCTTCCACTAGGCCTCACCTCCAACATTGGGGATCACATGTCAACATGAGAGTTAGAGGGAACATCTAAACTCTGTGTAGCAGTATTCTTACAATAAACATAGAAAATAATGCTGAATCATGATGGAAGAAGTGAATTGCCGCCATGCAGTTCCTTTGTACTCTTACTGCTTGGATTCTTAAAAACATCTTTCCCTTTGGAATCCTAATTTAAACAAGAGTCAATAGTAAGATATGTCCAAAAGTCATTTAAAGAAAGAGCATCCTATCACAAACTTACATGTGAAAGTTTTTCGTAGGTTTGCACAATAAATACAGGGAATGTCAGTGTGCTCAAGGTCACACTTACTAGCTGTGGGACCTGGAGCAAATTACGTAACCTTTCTGAGCCTCAGTCTTTCATCTGAAAAAAAAAAATGGGATAATAAAATTATCTACAATATCGTTTATTATTAGGATGAATAAGTCAAAATAAATGGAAAGTGCTTGGAAGCAAACATACCAAATGATAAACACTCTACAAATTCTAGTTCTTGATATTATTATTATTATTATTATTATTATTATTATTATTATTATTACAGTACACAGATTTTGGAATCTAACATATTAGCTGAGTGACCTTGAGACCACTTAATCTCTGTGGTTGTCCATTTACTCATCTCCAACATGGTTACTGTAACATTGAATGAGTTAATTCACATAGAGTAATGGTTGTGGTGGAAGAGATGTGTCTACCTTCTCAGTGTGAAGGACACCATGTTATACCCCAACACCCTAAAATTAGTTTAACCATAGAATTAGAGAATCATTTTCTCTCCTTTCCAATTTCATAGGATGCAGAAGGTATGCTCCTGAGGAAATTGGGTTTAAAAATACTTGGTTTTAACTTTTTAATAAGAAAAATGTAATAAACCAGATCACTTTCCTATTGTCAGTCCATTTAGGGGTGTGATTGAAAGCCCTGTTAAAGAATTGCTAGATCTTTAATAAAAATAAGTTGTAAATCCAAGACCTCTTGAGATCTCACATAATTTAATTCTTGTCGTGATGGATAGTCCTGAAGTATTTGTATTATAGATTGTTATAAGTGGCATCGACTAAAGCAAGGGAATATAGTTAAGTGATTATATGCCTTTCTCTGTTTGCTCCATAGTGGTTGAGTACTATTAAAATCTTATCTGTTTCATCCTTAGTATGTTTTTCATCTTAAGTATAAATAAGGAAAGTAATAAATGTCCAAAGGAAACCAATGGCCACATTAGTCCCATTTAAGTGCTCTAGAATTATATTTTATGATTTACTTTAGAGAGTAGATTGTCACATTTGCTTTCAGAATGTGGTAAAAGATTTGTGACAGTGGCATGTAGATTTCCAAATGAGGTCAAAGGATTATGACTAGTGGAAAAAGTTTTTTTTTTTTTTAATCAATGCTAAGTGATCCATTCTAGTTGCACTATTTATTTGCATGTAAGGTATGAAAAACTGTTAATAGTGGCCGGAGTCAGTGGCTCATGCCTGTAATACCAGCATTTTGGGAGGCTGAGGCAGGTGGATCACCTGAGGTCGGGAGTTCGAGACCAGCCTGACCAACATGGAGAAACCCCATCTCTATCAAAAATACAACATTAGCCGGATGTGGTGGTGCATGCCTGTAATCCCAGCTACTTGGGAGGCTGAGACAGGAGAATTGCTTGAAGCCGGGAGGCAGAGGTTGTAGTGAGCCGAGATTGCGCCATTGCACTCCAGCCTGGGCAACAAGAGTGAAACTCTATCTCAAAAAAAAAAAAAATTGTTAATAGCTTAATATGTAGCCATTCTTTACAGTGAATAAAAACTTGGTTATAAGTACAGGAAAACACATGTAAGGAGATAGTATGATATAGCAAAGAGCATTGGAGTGACTATTCGGAGGTCTAACTTCAAACTTAAGTTGAGCCATTATTTAACCATGTTATTGTGGGAAAGCCATTTAACCTCTCTCAGCTTTAATTCTCCTCATTTTTTAAATGAGGAAATTTATTTTGTCTAAGGTCACATCCAGTTCAGTCCTGTGATTCTGTCTCTAGATATCTGGGGGAGATACACATTTGACAGAATTTAGTTTAAAACCAATGAAGTTGCTTTCTTTATTCATAATACAAATGTGGCTTGTTGAAATTATATTTCTCCTTGTATAACTCTAACTTTTAAACTCTTCATCCCTAAACCCACATATACACAGCCTTCTCCTATTAAACAGTTCAGTTTGTGGTATCTGCTCTATATTGTAGCAAATTTCATGTTTCTATTTTTTAACATGACCTTAAAGATATGCTTAAAAAGTGTTTTTAGCAGAAAGCTGATAAATCCAAGGTTTTGGTTTGCGTATAACCAAGTCAAGTTAGTTCCATTCTTTTCTTTGATGATAATTCTGCTACATTATAAATGTGAAGCCTTGTTCAGAAAGAGAAGAAAGCAAGAAATGAAGTTCACATCAAACAATTTTTTCCCATTACTGGAAAAGCAATTCATACGTCCTGTTGAGAATATTTTATATTTAGAACAACGTATGTGAGGCTAAAGCATTTTCCAAGTTCTGTGGCGGGAAGCTTGAGCCCACCACTATTATGACATAATATTTTTTTAAATAGTAAATGTCAAAAAAAGACATTATATTTCTATGAAACTAAAGAATTTAGTCACAATGCTATGTCAATCTTTAAATCGTGCTAAAAGCCAAGTACAAGTTCATCTTTGCCTCTGTCTGCTAAGACAAAGAAAAATCAAAAAGTAGAGAACTGTCCAGGTATAGTGGCTCATGCCTGTAATCCCAGCACTTCGGGAGGTCAAGGCAGGTGGATCACTGGAGGTCAGGAGGTTGACAACAGCCTGGCCAGCATGGTGAAACCTCATCTCTACTAAAAGTACAAAACTTAGCTGGGTGTGGTGGCGCATGCCTGTAATCCCAGCTACTCCGGAGGCTGAGGCAGGAGAATCGCATGAACCCAGGAGGCAGAGGTTGCAGTGAGCTGAGATTGCGCCACTACACTCCAGACTGGGTGACAGAACCAAACTCCATCTCAAAAAAATAAATAAATAAAATAAATAAATAAATAAATAAATAAATAAATAAAAAGTAGAGAACTGGAGTAGTAGAAAGGTAGATATAAACCTGAGAAAAGAAAGAGTCTTAAATTTGGGCAAAATAGTGTAACAGAAAGATTAGAGTTACATACTATCAGTCTGTGTGTACTTGATATCAGAATATCCTGGGTTCTTTGCATTATCCATTCATTTAATTTTCAAGGAAAGCCATGCTAGTTTTTTAGCTGTCTGTAGTATCAGTCAAAATGGTGAAACCAGTTAAGAGATGTGACCACCAACAATACAGTCAGACCCAGTCACAATTTACCTATGTATGGAATCAATGTATAGAGAGTTCCAAATTGACTTTGAATCTTCTAATAGAAATGTAAGAGACATTGGTTTGCCTGTTTGAAATTTTCTGTGGGAACGAAGTCCTGTTTTCTTCCTCAGAGTAGACACATTGGTATACATGTTACTATTTGACCATTTGACTGTTTGTGGTGTAGGAAACCATCACTCCTTGCAGTTACAAAAAGTTCTCATGTGCATTCTCTCATCTAAGAATCACAACCTTGTGATTTTGTATTATGATTACCTATTATCATTATTCCCTTTTACACGTAAGGAAACCGAGGCTTAGAAACATGAAGTACCACAGTCACAGTCACATAACTTGTATCAGTCAGGATCTGACTCAGGTTTTTTGAACTGCTATTCCCATGCTCTTTTTGTCTCTTCTTCTCAAAGTCCTATTAAGTTTGGACTTAACAAAGCAATACCGGCTGGGTGTGGTGGCTCATGCCTGTAATCCCAGCACTTTGGGAGGCCAAGGAGGGCGGATCACTTGAGGTCAGGAGTTTGAGACCAGCCTGGCCAACACATAGTGAAACCCCATCACTACTAAAAATACAAAAATTAGCTGGGTGTGGTGGCATACGCTTGTAGACCAGCTACTTGGGAAGCTGAGGCAGGAGAATCGCTTGAACCCGGGAGGCAGAGGTTGCAGTGAGCTGAGATCATACCACTGCACTCCAGCCTGGGCAACAAAGCAAGACACCATCTCAAAAAAAATAAAAATAAAAAAAGCAATACTTTAAAGCTATTTTGGACATACAGGTATAAAATACTTCACTTTTTTACATATATCTTCTTTTTTGAAATGATTCTCAGGTATATTAACTTTTAAATCTTCCTTTTATAAACCAACGGATTAATGAACCCAGTTTAGTGTACCCCTTAAAAATCACACTTGTTTCAAATATAAAATTTTAAAGCATTATATTCCTCATTGCCTTTAGAACTCAGCAATTGTATTAAAATCCACCAAAAATGATTTCAATGAATCAGCTCTTAAAGCCAAACTAATGCTAATATTTGACCAAGTAGAAATGAATATCTAAACCAGGT